TTTTTTTCTGTTTGAAAGAACAATGTTCTACTTCCGTCGGATTCGCTTTGGAAATTGTAGGATCCTATCGGTTTCCGACTGTAGGATCCTATCGATTCGGTCCGATCGGATTTTGTCGGACGCCGATAGTGGGATCCGAGCGGTTCCGTCCCGTAGGATTTTATCGGTCGCCGATGGTGGGATCCTATCGGATCTGGAATCCGATAGGATTCGTATGCGTTTCCGTTTCACGGAATCCGTTGAGATTCCGATAGGATCCTCTGGGATCTTATAAATTCCTATGGGATCTGATCGGATCCGATCGGAAATCCGATCGGATCTTACAGGATCGTATAGGATCCGATTGTCGGATTGGTGGACCTGGGTATGCCAGTTTCCTTGCTCAATTTATACTATTTCATTGAAAAAAAAAATTTACCGGACGTCCAGGGGGAAGAAAAATGGGTCAACCGAAACCGGAAAGGGGAAGGGAGTCCAAAAAGGCCAATTTTTACCAAATATCCTTTATGGATGGTCCCTAAGTGAATGTAAATATTGTTCAAATGACTTAATATCTATTGATTTCATAGTCCACCAAATTCGTTGTCCGTCTCATCGACAACTAGTGAAGTGAGTAGTTTTTGAAATACAAGTCAGCTGTAGACAATAGTACTGGTCGACGGAAAAATTGGTTTTTTTCATGTAGAGAAATGCTTCATTTTACATAAAGTCAGACATATCAAGGCGAAATGAAAAGAAAGAATATAAACATAACTTACATCGATGACTCACTGTTCGTGCACCTATATTTTAATTTAAACATAAATTGTTTGCTTTAAGAAGAAATACTTCAACAAGGAGAAATGAAAAAAAAACAGACATGTATCTATAGTTCAGTATATTTAATAGTTTATTTCCATCTTCTTTTGTTTGTCTAATATGTTGTTCTAAATCTATCACTAGCTATTGACTTGTGACAACAAATAGATCTAATTGATTATCAGGAATATATTTATTATAAAAGAAAAAAATTAACCATAAATTCTTCTATTTAAAACTATTCTAAATTAAATATAAACTTTAACTACAATTGTTGGTATGCTCTTAATCAAAATAAAATAAAACCTTCTTTTTTTTTTTTTTGTCTTTAATTATTTTTACTCTATGTAAAAACATAGAAAAAATATCAGAAGTGTCTTATTTGAAAATAATTAATGTATACATATGAAGTTGGCTAGTCTAGCTGGAGACTCCAATTGGTTTCTTTTTTGATCGTGTGCTTCTATAGCATATCAGATAAATATGATTTTTTTTTGCCAGTCATATAGTATTCGTATAGTGCTGATGATCTATCAAGGATAAGAGGTCTATATCATGTGCAAAGTCAAAATAGTCAAATGTCTTCAGAAAATCTTTTTATATAACTGGCAAAAAAAGCCATATTTATCTGATATGTTATAGAAGCACACACGATCAAAAAAAAAACCAATTGGGGTCTCCGGCTAGACTGGTCAACCCCATATATATATATAAATTGAAATTTATTTATGCAAAATAAATTGTGGAATCATCAGTTATAAATCTAAAACTGACAATTCAACGCATGTACACGACTATAGAATCACAAATATCTAATCAATAGCTCTCTGTCATTTAGATTTCTTTTTGTTAAGGTAGAATGATCGAAAGATTTCTGCTTAAATTTTTTCTATGACTGCTGAATGGTTTTGTTTGAAGGAAGAAATAATTCGGCAGATTTCTTCTTAGGTGTTTTTGATTTCTGCTTGTGAGGATAAAAATAAATGAAACATTGCTGTTCACGTAAATTTAAGTAATGCCTGTTGTTATTCTGAAAAATCATTTCTCTTTCATGTTGTAAGGGTAAACGATTTCTGCTTGAAATAGAACAGTTGTCCATTTTTCGAGCATATTGATCAGTTCTCATCACTTTTAGATTACGTTTTCCGATCACTACTATCTATTTGAATACTACTTCCTATTTTCATATGCAAGAATAGACTGGTCGTTTCCCTTACAAACTATATGTCTTTTTTTTTTTATTGGCCTTATATCTTTCTGTTACAATAAACTGATGATTTTTTGAGAAATTTTAATTTGTTTGAGCATCTAAAATTCTTATCTTTGACATATGACTGAACATAAGAGGTGTTGATTTCTCTATTCATTTACATAATTCTGATCAGATTTACGTTGTGTTTCATACGTAAATTTTTGTAAAAGGCAATATAAATTTGGTTTTTCATTAGTGAGAGGATCAGAAAAAAGTTCTAGAGGAAGCTTAGCCTCGGTCATTGCTGCAGTTCAAAATTCACTGATATTCATTTCAAAGAAGACGAATTCGATATCTTTGGAATGACTTTTGATGAAAACATGGTAGAGATTGATAGCCTTTACCATTGGAAAGAAGAGATACTAATGCATTAAAAGTTGTCTCTTACCGATTGTCTGCCATATTTTTTCTGGTTTCTTCAAGAAAAAGACAGTTTTTAAGATGGATCGATAGAGCAAATTTTCACCGAAATTTAGCGAAAAGCGCACTTTCTGCTGATTTTATCAAAAAATTGGCTAATTTCTCGCAAGTAAATGCCTAAGATTCCTTTTATGAACTAACTCTAATAATATTCGTCTTGCCCTGTTTTACAGATCTTTGATCGATAGTTCTAATGCATGTCTGAAAATTGAAAATTCATTCTGGTGACTTCAGGCTCTAGATGAATTTTCATAATGTTCAATCGAAAACTCTCAGAAAACATATCAAAAAATTTATAAGACAAGATTCGATGCATCTTCCTCTCCTAGTCCGAATGGTGAAATCATATATTTTGTTTCTTATGGATCACTTGATAAACGTCATTTTACTGAAGTTACGTTCACATGTTTTGGCTGAAACAGCTAAATTAAATTGTTCGCACAGATATCAGAAATACAGACATTAAAAAAAAAAAACGATAAATTATCTCTACAAATATCATTCGATAGAAATCGTCAGCGAATATTAAAGATTAATATGTCCTGAAGAAATAGAATGCATTATTTCTTCATAAACATCAATTTAAATTCTAACGAATAGTTGAGAATAGCCATTTTCATTTACTTCATATTTGATCTTTCAAGCTTTTCAAAAGAAGAACAACTAGGCTCAATAATTTTCTCCTTGAAGGGCTCGAAGACTTTTGGAAAGAGCTGAGTGCCCTTCAACCGTCCCTGGATCCGCCACTATTTTTTTATACTGACAAAACTAGCCCAAATTTTAACACAAAAATTCAATTTTTTCCGTCAGTTTCGAATTACTTTGTTTAATATTTTTTGTACGTTTAATTTTGACGAATCTATTGAATCTGAGGGAATTTTCATCATTAACGAATTTCGTATCATTGACATATGAACGTGCATTATCCCATTCACTCCGATTTAGATATGGGCATAATGGGATCAGGACCAAATTTTTCTTTTTGACCAGGATTGGGACCAAAATTTTTTGACTGAAATCGGGGTCGGACTCCGAATTTTTTCTGATCAAGACCAAAGTCAAAAATGACTGGTCTCACTCATGTTTAGTTGTAGTATATCGATAAGATATCTCGAACTTATTGATATTGCTAGAAAATCATATCGAATTTTCCACTAGCAAATATGTTACTAAGTGGGAAGATAGGACCAAAACGTTTTTTCTGACCGACACTAGGATTGAGGTCAAAAATGACTGATCTCGTTCATATCTACTCCGATTAGACGGATCATTAAATAGAAAATGAAAGAGAAAAAGTTTGAATAAAAAATTTTCTCTAATGAAACCAATTGATCCGTCAAAAAAATATATTTATACCAAGAAAAAATGACAGATTCTCAAGATTCCGAATCCCTGAAAGTACCACAAGAATCCTTGAAATCTTTGGAGTACGAAATCCGCCGTTTCCTCTTGATTGTCATTGTCACATATAATAACAAACAATTTTTTTGTCAAAATTTTATTATTATGATATTAGATGAGCTATGATGACATATTACAGAAAAATGGAGCATTCTTGAACGTTAACCAGACAATGACAAAAAAAAAAACAAAAACGTCTGAATAAAAATAATTTTCTCTTATTAGAAACAATTGACCGTCAATTAGACCCCGTCGGGTCCAAAATTTTTGGACCCGAACCCGGAGCCGTTTACAATTTGCTACACTTGTACCCGGACCCGGACCCGCTTGTTTAAAAAAGGTTGGACCCGGACCCGACCCGGACCCGGTTGTTTAAAAAATGTTGGATCCGGATCCGACCCGGACCCGGCCGCTTAAATTTTTTGGATCCAACCACGATGATAAATCAGTTTCGATAATATATTCAAAAAGTCTTTTGTTGCTTTTTTGTATATTTTCTAAATACATTCAATTTTTTTCTTCATGAAACGAACAAAACTTTGAAAAAATTCACAATACATTGTATGCATCAAAGTTTTCTTCAGATCTGGACCCGACCCGGACCCGGTCACAAAAAAATTTCAGACCCGGAACCCGACCCGGACCCGGCCAAAACGAAATTTTTAGACCCGAACCCGGACCCGGACCCGGACCCGCTCGGGTCCGGGTCCTACCCGACGGGCTCTACCGTCAATAAGACGTTTTTTTCTTTTCTTTCTGAATGGACGGCAACGGTCATTCGTCAATCGATATCTATATAAGTGCTGTGTTGTTGTAAGAGCATTAGTATATCGATATTAAAAATATGTGTATGATCCGAAATTTGAAAAATTTGACAGAAGAAGAAAGTCAAGTAGAAGTAAGTGTTACTTCCACATTTCAGCTATTTTTCATTTTCAAGAAAAATATCATTTTTCTTCTCGAAACGTAATATCAATTGATGTAATCCAATCAATAATTTTTCTTTTGTTTTCTATTTTCAAAATAAATAAGAGTCTTTATATTTGATGACGTTTTATTGTATATTATAAATCAATTAACTTCTTCCATTTTTTCTTCTTCATTAGTTTTCTAAAAGAGAACTACTACGATGATTGCTTTTGGTTCAGAAGCAAGTCAAGTGTCGGTAGAATAGGAGCAAAATTAATGGAAATGTGTCAGCTGTTGATTTCTATAGTGGGGACTATATACTAAATTGTGCCAATTTTTTTTCTTTCTTTTTTATTTTATCAAAATTTCCTTTTAGAACATAAATGATACAAATCAAGCAGCAGCTATAACAACAATAAATGCTTCACAATTTAACATCACACAATCATCAATTAATCCTGATGAACAAAATCAAGCAGCAGCTATAACAACAACAAATGCTTCACAATTTAATATTACAGAATCATCAATTAATCCTGATTAGGGGTGTCAACTTTGCGTTCCGTTCCTAGGAACGGGGAACGCTACTCCGTTCCCGTTCCTGGGAACGGAGAACGCTACCCCGTTCCTCAGCGTTCCGTTCCTAGAAACTGGAACGCAACATACGTTTCTTTCACTTTTAACAGAAATTTTACTAATTCACCGAAGGAAAGCCAATTTCATAAAAATTAGGGATGTCAACGTGCCCCGTTCCTCAGCATTCCGTTCCTAGGAACGGGGAACGCTGAACACTCAAACATAAAAAGAAAAGTGAATATGGCTAGAGACCTCATCATGTTGAAATATAGCGTGGAAATGCGATTTTGACAAGCGTTCCCGTTCCTAGGAACGGAATGCTGAGGAACGGGGAACGCTGACACCCCTAATCCTGATGAACAAAATCAAGCATTATCTGATATAAAAAAAATACTTGATGATAATACAAAATTACGTGATGATAATACAAAATTACGTGAAGATAATATTAGATTTGAAAAAAAATTTGCAGAACTCCAGGATGATAATACAAAATTACGTGAAAATAATACTAAATTACAAGAAGAGTTTGCAAAACTTAATGATGATTTTCAAAAATTTCGTGAAGATATTAGTAAAATTGTTGTTAATAATACAAGATGCCAATGATACTAACTTGGCAATTAAGAATATGAATATTTATTTCAAATCAAACAATTAAATAATGAACAAAAAATTGGATTTAATACTTTTCATGTTTTTCTTGTTCTCATCTGATTAGATTTATGGCTATTCTAATTTTTGTTGTATTTGTTCGTGGTGAAATTTATCATTTATGTTTTTTTCTGGTTTTTGTTGTTCTTCGTGCTTTGATATAAAAATGAATATTATTGCTAGAAAAAGCAAATCGTTTTTGTTTAATATTTATTCAATCTAAGGATCAAGTCGAGTCCTAATATGTACCAAACTATTCTTTATTATCCAATATGGAATTATTTTATAATATAGATTCCCAAATAGAACATAATTGATCAATAAAGAACGAATTCCACCTTTCTGTTCGAGACCATAATCAATAATTAATACTCGATGACTAATTTCGTCTAGACTGCTAAAGATCCAATGAAGGTGAGTTGTACCATGAAAATAGAACTTCAATTGAGTACTTTTACACTTTGAGACCCCAACACATATGATTGATGACAGAACGAAAAAGAAAGAAAGTTGATTGATCGAATTAAAGTGTCCAACAGTTAAACGAAATAAAAGATGACGCTTATATATGTTCGAAGTTTAAATTAAAGTGATACAAGTGTGTGGGTGCGGGTGTGGATGTCTGGTGTTGACATCTTCTTCACCCCACACCCACACACTTGTGTCATTTTAATTTAGACTTCAAATAAATATAAGCGTCATCTGTTATTTCATTTAACTGTTTAATACGTTAATCCGATAAATTATCTTTTTTTCCTCGTTCTGTCACCAATCATATGCGTTGGGATCTCAAAGTGTAAAAGCACCCTTCAATTATTGGGTTGGCAACAAAGCTTTTTGCATTTTTTTTTTGTAATCCTCTAAAATATTAGCGAAGCTTCTAGAAGTTTCCATACTTAGGGTATATATATAGGAGCATGATTGTGTTGCGAACAACAACAAAACTATGAGTAAAGAAGCTAGTTTCGAATTAGAAATAGAGATTTCTCGTAGAGAGCTCCTAGTGCTTTTACTTCATGAATTTCGATTGAGCCGTACAGCAACGGAAGTAACAAGCAACATATGCAGGACGATGAGCAATGATGTACTCTCCATTTGTACAGCACAACATTGATTCAATTGATTTAAGAACAGGAACTTCGAACTTGACGATTTATCTCATTTGGGAAGACCAGTGAAGGTGGACATTGACTTATTAAAAAAAAACACAATAAAGTCTGAACAAAAGAATATTGAGGGCGATATCGTTGAAATAGGGAGAGATTCATTCTTCCTGGGACACCCGTTAACAGAAAAACTTTTATTTTACAAAAGGATTTCGAAGAGAACTTTCTATAATAGACACAATAACTAATAGCTTGTCACGAATAGATACTATTGAGACTAGTCTTTTTTTTTTGATTTAATCGAAAACAAAATTCGATCATGATATTGACCATCCAATCTTCTTTTGCCCTTGTTTATAAGTTTGAAGCAATGTGTTGTTCTATTGGAACGTTATTAATCTTTTAATATACTCCTTGTCAGATGGCTAGTTGAACATAAACATTAATCAATAGTTCTAGTTTCAGCATCGAACTCAGTTTCAATCGAATATTCACCATGATGAAATGAGATTACAACTTGACTGCAGGACCAATATTCTTATATTATTTCAATACTCTTCTGAGGATTTCTTCTACATTCTATTGACGATCAAGCTATAAATCTTTGAGCTACACCACTAATTATCTGTTGTATACGTTAAATATTTATCAATCAAATCGATTATTTATCGGATTTGACGCTCTCTAATAGGTTGTAGATATAAAAAAGAGACTGGATATTGAAATTTTGTGACTAATTTTTGTGATGATGTTATTTAACAACATAAAACAATATTGATGTACAGTTACTATGGGAATAGGATGAAGATTAGTTGATTCATGTCTAGCCACAAGACTTCTAGATGAAATAATGAAGTAAATTGCAATACATATCCAGATATGATATGAGTGTCTCTCTTTAAAATATCAAATCAGAAGTAAAACGATTATCATCTATAGTACTTTTTGTGGCGCTTATGATCAAAGGAAGATGAAGAGAAGTTTTCTCGAAAGATGATGGTCACATATAGAATAATAAATATAAATTTTTCTGCTCATTAAAATAAAAACCCTGTTGAAAAAAAAAAGAAGATAGTTGAATATTTTGTTCTTGCTCCAATACGAAGTCATGATAGAAAAATTCAAAATCTGAAATAAAACTTTTTCGAAGTTGAATTCTATATTTAATTAATAAATTCGATTTCATAGAAGAGTTTGTATGATTAATAAATTGTATCAGTTTTATTGAAATTTCAGGAAGGATTTATAAAGAATACATCAACATCATTATTTTTCTTTTTACTAAGTATTTAAATACTGACTTTATTAGAGATCGACAGAATAATTTATTTGTCTTTTATTTAAAAAATGGATACGAATAATACTAGTGCACTTATAATTACAGTGCTTTCTATTCCAATGAATTTTTCCGTGTTCGATGAAACATTTCAGTTTGAAAGTAATGAAAAAAAATATTTTAGCTTAGTAGAAATAGATGAATGCATTTGAAACAAGTAATAAATTAACTAGAGATCGACTAAGGTAAAAAGAAAACGTTTTTTTAAATAAATAAAAAACAAGATACGTTTATTATTAAAGATATACATTCTATGATAGATCACCATTTACTACTAGTCTTCCACATTATGAACATATATTTAACTGGAACAATTAAAGATACAGTTACTCGATGAGCTTATCAAACAGGACATTATGTTGAATGCCGATTTACTTGAGGTAACATAAATTTACTTTTTTTTTTTTCAATATTTACAAACATAAATCTTGCGTTTATTAGATTGTCATGGTTTGTCTATGATATGATCTATTATTTAATTATTTCCGTAAATTGATAGTTTTAAATAGGAATATGAAATCTCGATAAAACATTTAATATTAAAGATTCTGAAGATGTAGCCAAAATGGATATTGCGACTTCTAATGATCATTGTAGAAAAATTATTATTCGATATGCTCAAGAATGGAAAGTATGTTCACCTTCTCTATATCATTATCAAATAATAAAAGTAAAAATAATTTAGGAATCAGTTTGATTTGTATTGAAAAAATTATATGAAAAAGATTTTGTCTATCGTGGATATAAAATATGAATAAAGAAATTATTAAAAGTTTTGAAAATAAAAATTTTCTCTAAAGATAACGCCTTATTCAATAGGTTGTTGCACTTCGTTATCGAATTTTGAAGCTGATTGAAATTATAAAGATACAGATGTGATCTAACTGTTTGGGTATCATTTCTACTTGCTTTTTATCTAACAGTAAAACTTATTACTTGAACAATAACAACATGAACATTACTATCGAATCTTGCAGTTTGTGTTAATAAAAATTCAATTTATATTAAAATTCTTAATTTTTTATTTAATAAAAATAATAGAAGACATCATAATTAGAGTTTTCTGTTATTTAGATAAAAACTAAAAATATGAAGTTTTTATTCTAATGGAAAAATGATTATCTGAATATTATAAAAAAAAAAAAAAAAAAAAAAGCTAATACTTATCAAGTATTGGCAATGTGAGTTTATTTAGAATGAATAATTCGCTTAATATACGTATACAGTTGCTCGAAAAAGTATCTGACCACCTCATTTTAGTCTCATACAAAGACTTTATGCAAAAAAACCTTTTCGAAAGACCGATTATTGTGAAACTTATGTATGACAGAGAAGTTTGTTTGCTCTATCCAATGGTGCTATATGAATAAAAAAAAGCAACATGTGTTCGAGATTGAAAGTGAATTTTTTCGAAAAATGATGAAATTATCGAAAAAAGTAGATGCCTGACTAGGAGTGATCCTTTATCTTCACTTTCCATTATAATAAAGGATAAAGATAAATGAATTCTTTATTCTTAAAAAATAAAGATAAATGGATCCTTTATTTTTAAAAAATAAAGTTAAATAAATAAAAGAATACTTTATTGTTAAAAAATAAATGTAAATGAATCATTTATCTTTTAAAAATAAAGGGAAAATAAAGGAATAAATGATATATTTTGTGATAGATAATATGATTAGAAGAACACTAGAATCATGGAATGAATCTATAGAGAGATTATTATCGTTTAAAAATATAATTTTATTAAAAATATTCTTCCTACGATGAAATTTAAAAATAACAGAAATAAAACCTTTATATCTGACTTTTTAGAATAGTAAGAAAGAGAAAAATCCTCTTATAACATTCTAATGTGATCAAAGACTTCTT